GCATAGGCAGTAAAAACTAACATTTCTCTAAGCAATATTTTTTTTTGCTATATCTTCTTGGGCAAGAGAAACAAAAGAAAACATAAAGAAATGGGATTACATAAAATTAAAAAGGTTTTGCACAGCAAAGGAAACCATTAACAAAACAGGAAGATAACCTACTGAATGGGGGAAGATATTTGCCAATGATACATCTCACAAAAGGGGTTAATATTCAAAATTTATAAAGAACTCATACAACTCAACATAAAAACACACAAAATAATCCAATTAAATAGTGGGCAGAAGGCCTGAATAGATACTTCTTCAAAGATGACATGCAGGTGAACAATCTATATATATAACCCTAATATGCAAATAGACTGAACGGCAGAACAACCGAACAACCGGTTGCTATGACGTGCACTGACCACCAGGGCGGGAAGCTTCACAGACAGAGTCCCTGCCCAGCAGCACCCACCACAGCCACTGGTCCCCTCTCTGCCAGCAGCCCTGCTCCTGCTGCTGCCGCTCCCACACACTGACAGCACTGGCCGGCTCACACCTGCTGATGGCGCGGAGCAATTGGGGCCAGTGCCAGCAGTCGGTGTGAGAGGTGGCTGCTGCTCTGATTGCCCTTCAGGAGCAGGGAGAGGTGGAGAAGCCCTGAGGGGTGATTGGGGCCAGCAGCTGCCACTTGCACCCGCTGCTGGCACCTGCCCCAATTGCTCTGCACCATCAGCAAGTGTGAGTGGGGCCGGCGCCGTCACCGCATGGGAGCAGTGGCAGCAGGAGCGGGGCTGCTGGCAGACAGGGGACCGAGGGCCACGGCGGGAGAATGGGCCGAGACCCGCCCCTGTGCCCACTGCAGTTCCTTTCAAGGTGCACAAATTCATGCACTGAGCCCTTAGTAGACATCTGAAAAGATGCTCAATGTCAGTAATCATCAGAGAAATGCAAATTAAAACCACAGTGAGATATCACCTCATACCTGTCAGAATGCCTGTCATCCATAAATCAACAAACAACAAGTGTTGACTAGGATATGGAGGAAAGGGAACCCTCATCCACTGTTGGTGGGAATGTAGATTGGTGCAGTCACTATGGAAAGCAGTATGGCGATACCTCAAAAAATTAAAAATGGAACTGCCTTCTGACCCAGTGATTCCACTTCTGGCTATATTTCCAAAGAAACCCAAAACACTAATTTGAAAGAATATGTGCACCTCTGTGTTCATTGCAGAGTTATTTACAATAGCCAAGATATGGAAGCAACTCAAGTGCCCATCAATAGACAAGTGGATTAAGGAGATGTGATACACATATACACTGGAGTATTACTTGGCCATAAAAAGAATGAAATCTTACCATTTGCATATGGATGGACCTAGGGGGTATTATTTCCTAAGTGAAATCAGTCAGACAGAGAAAGACAAATACCATGTGGTTTCACTTACATCTGGAATCTAATGAACGAAATAAACAAACAAGCAAAATAGAAACAGACTCATAGATACAGAGAACAGATTGATGGCTGACAGAGGAGAGTGGATTTGGGGGATTGGTAGAAAGGTAAAGGGATTAAGAAGTTACAAATTGGTAGTGACAAAATAATCACGGGGATGTAAAGTATTACATAAGGACTATTGGGTGGGCAACTTTGACAAGTATATGACTGTCTAACTGCTATGCTGTACACCTGAAAGTAATACAAAGTAATATTGAATGTCAACTGTAATTGAAAAATGAAATTAAAAAAAAATTGTTAACTGTTGGCCAATGGGATGTGAACCCAGGCAGCATGAATTGAAACCCTCTCTTGTCATCACTGTAGTGCCTCCAGGACTTGATGGAAGGAGTCTTTATTACTTCCTAGGGCCCAACCTGACCTGCTATTGCTGGAGGATTCAGGCTGTCTTGCTGATTTTATATCAAGGGTCATGAATAACAAGAGCAGATTTACAATCTTTAGCATTTGTTACTTTTTTGGCTGCATGGTGTCACGAACAGTTTGATATAGTCCCATAGATAGTAGCTAATGGTACAGTATATTTGTTGGGGGAGGGGTTGGGTGGGAGAGTGGAGGGATTGAGCAAAAAAGAAAAAAGAGAGAAAAAACTCATGGACAGGCATAACAGTGTGGTGACTGTTGGGAGAGGAGAGGCGGAGGAGGGTATCAGAGTGTAAATGGAGATGGAAGAGGGCTCGACCTGGAGGTGGTGAACACACAATACAGTATACAGAATTGTGCACCTGCAATCTGTATAATTTCGTTAACCAGTGTCACCCCCATGCATTCAATAGAAAGGAAAAAAATAAAAAATACCTTACATCTCCACGTGGGGATAATCTTAAGTTAATTGGATATGACAGGAGAATATGAAAATGAGTGTTAGTAGTCTTTGGTATATTAAAGTTTGGTTCCTAACATGCTTAAATAGGCATTTTTAAAGTATAGCCTTTTAAATAGTGTATGCATGTCTAACACTAAATTTGTGTGTGTGTGTGTGTGTGTGTGTAACAATCCAAAATCCATCTATTAGCAACTTATTTAATAAGAATATGTGATTTTCTCTTGGTTTGTATTCAGACTATTTCAGACTTCTAAACGTTTCCTCCTTTGATATCGTTCCTCCGGTAAAATGCTGTTTAGCACTTGAATCTATTAAACGTAAATTGGTACCTTGCAGTTGGAATTTACCAACTTCCCTTGTTACTAGGTAATTACTTTTGTGACTGAACTGGCATGGAATGTTCTACCCAGGAGGAAATAGCCTCCCCTCTCCCAGCTATCTCCTTTTTCTTTATATAGCCATAAATACCACCCAGGTAGCTCTGCATTGCAAGGTTCCCCAAGGCAGTGATTTTATAACTTGCAAAGGTTAAGAGGGACTTGTGGAATTTTACCTAGAGCCTTGACTTTTTCATTTGCAGTTTCCTAGGTTAGTTTCCCTGAGCCCTCCTGTTTATAGATTTTGATTATTTTGATGCAGCAAATTTAAAAGCTTTATCTTTTATTCCTCTTTACAGGGAGAGAATTGGGAGAACAACAGAGCCAATGTTGTGCTTCTCCCTTTGTCATAAAGACTAATAATCAAAACAGTAAAATAGCTGACATGTCGAACCTGCACTTACTACACGCCAGGCATTACACTGTGCTCACTTGTTGAATTCTCACAACACAGTGTAATAATTATTACCACCATTCTTTCACAAGTGAGGGAACGGTTGAAGCAGCTAAGTCATTTGAACATGGAAGTGGTGGAGGTGGGATTTAAGCTTACACAATGTGCTTGAAAGGTTCCTAGCATAATTTTAATCCAGAATATCAGTTGGATGTTGGGCAGAAAAATATCGGTGACTTTTTGAGTTCTTTTTGTCCACATTAGAAAAAAAGACAGAGCCTTGGTGGTGTGGCTCAGTTGGTTGGAGCATCGTCCCGTGCACCAGAAAATCATGGGTTTGATTCCTGGTCCGAGCACATGCCTAGGTTGTGGGTTCGATCCCTGGTTGGGGTGCATTATGGGATGCAACTCACTGATGTTTCTCACATCAATGTTTGTCTTGCATCAGTGTTTCTCTGTCTCTGTTTCTCTCTCTGGCCCCTGCCTCTCTTTCTCTCTCGCTTCTCCTTCCTCAGAAAATAAACTAGAAAAAAAGAAAGGACATTCCTTCTATATATCCTATATAATGTGTTCACGAACCTAGTTCTTTTCCATGCTACTGATGTTAACACAGACTCCTAGGAAAGATGATTAAAATCCTGCCACTTGTCCAGGAGCACGTCTCTGCTGTGGCTGTGAGTGGAGCTCCATGGGGCGTAGCTGCCTCTGCTGAGTGCTGGGGAAAGACAGTGCGGCTGTCATCTCCAAGTCCTGGTGGTAAGGGCTGCAGCCTGCTTGCCCTAGGTCCCTGGGTTGGTCACGCCTCTGGCTCTTGTGGCAGCTGGGAGAAATAAAGGGCTTCCTGTTGGAGCTTGGCATTGCCACGGTGACTAAAGGCTTTCTTCAGTCTTTTGTGTTTTTTTCAAATTCTCTCCTTTCAGTTGCTCGATTGTGCCTATTTTGACCTCTGACTTCTGTGTTGTATTTATAATCTCATAGTAACACTTTACACTGAAAAAATCTTAAATATTATCTGCTTCTACCTCCTACTTCCTCATTTATAGATGAAGAAGCTGACTCACAAACATGAAATGAATTATTCAAAGCCATGGGACTAGTGGCCAGGATAGAAGCCAATCTTGTGACTCTAGTGATTTTTTTTTTCCTCCTGTTGCTAAGTGACTTGTACCTCCCTATGTCTTGCTTCCAGTCTCTTATTTGCTCGTCCTGATCCTGGCTTGTTGGCCTGTCTTCCTGACCCCTTGGCTTTGTGTCCTGCACTGGATGAGGGAACAGTTGTTTGTTGATGTTAATCCCAGCTTTGGAATTACTGTGTGACCTGTGCTCAAGTCTCTTGGTGCCTTAATATCATTATCAGCAGATTAAGGAGGAACCTTACAAAGAGGTCCTTAAGAAAATAGAAATCATGTGAGCTGGTGACCTGTTTTTTATTATTTAATGGAAGAGGATTTTAGAAAATTGAATGAAAACAAAAAAGTATAGGTAAAAAAAAAATCAGGTGTTAAATATCTGCTGGATCAAATTCCCCGCTGCAGGTGGTAATGTAGATCATTTGTACGTTTTACTTTTGATCCCTTTAAACTTGGAAAAACATTTGCTTGAGTTGTTTTAACAGATCTGATTAATCAAGAGGAATGTAGATTTCTTTTTAATGTTGTGACATTTGGGTATAACAAAAAAACTAGATGCTTAGGTTTAATCCAACTTTTTCAGTCTATTAAATTCTTTGAAACCCAGTTTCCCTAGATATAAATGGGGGAAATAGACCTAGCTTACAAGTGAGAGTTATGAGGATTAAGTAAAACAGTACTAGCACAGTGCTTGGTACATAGTAGGTTCTTTATCTGAGTTAGCTTCCCTTTTTCCTAATGATTGAACACTTTCCATTGTGTTTAGATATCTGATATCCATGTTACTGGAGAGTCAGAGGATATGTCTGCGAAAGAAAGATTGCTGCTCTGGACACAGCAGGCAACAGAGGGTTATGCTGGCATACGGTGCGAAAATTTCACTACCTGCTGGAGAGATGGAAAGCTGTTTAATGCCATCATTCATAAATACAGGTATGGAATCTGTGGGACTTTTTTCCTTAGAGAAATATGAATTTCTTTCATTTCCACATTTTAAAATAACCTTTTATTATTACAGAAGCAATATAGGTGTGTGGCAGAAAGTTAGAAAGTACAGACGAGTAAACGTAAAAACATGACATTCCCACCACTCAGAGATCTCCCCTCTAAGCTTGGTGTGCACACGCAGGCACATATTACATAGCTGTAATATGTCTTTGGTTTGTGCCAGTAACCTAGCAGATAGTGAGCTCTGATATGTAGAATTTACAGGTAGGTGACCAAGTTTGTATATATAGAGAACTGATGAGTAATAATAAGACAAAGGTTTAGTTCAGGCTTAGAGCTCACAAATTTCCAAATTATAGTCTCCTAGTCTAGTTACTCTAGTGAGTAGGTCGGTTTAACAGTGGCCAATTTAGGGATGGTAAAAACACTTTTCTGCTGAGAATTAGTAACAACTAAGTCCAAGTTAACACTTACCTAGCACTTACTAAGTCCCAGGCTCTATCCTAAGCAGTTTACATATATTAATTCATTTAATCCTCACCACAGCCCTAAGGGAATGTTGTCACCCCCAGTTAACAGAAAGAAACTGAGACACAGAGTAACCCTTGCTAAAAGTCACACAGCCAGCAAGGGGCCAACTTGGGATTCAGACCCAGGCACTGTGGCTCTTGAGTTCATGCTTATCCTATATAATAAAACCCCAATATGCAAATCGACCGAATGGCGGAACAACCGGGCACTATGGCACGCACTGAACACCAGGGGGCAGACGCTAGATGCAGGAGCTGCCCCCTGGTGGTCAGGGTTCTCCCACAGGGGGAGTGCCGTTCAGCCAGAAGCTGGGCTCACGGCTGGCAAGTACAGTGGTGGTGGCGGGAGCCTCTCCCACCTCCATGGCAGCGCTGAGGACCCCGAGGGGTCCCAGACTGCAAGAGGGTGCAGGCTGGGCTGAACCCCCCCCCCCCATGCATAAATGTCGTACACCAGGCCTCTAGTTACCTTATAAGAATCAAAATTCCTAGAAAACTATTGATTAAAAACTACATATCTCTTGATCTCAGTTATTTTTCTTAGTTTTTCAAAGGTTATATCATGTTGTTGAAGAACTGAATATTTTCCTAAATAGAATAAGCCTAAGCTATAACTCATGAAACTGACAAACATTTGATTACAATAAAAATAATAATTACATAGAACAGTTAACGTTTGAATAACTCTCTATGGGTTAGGTATTCTGTAAGTGCTTTCCATATGTTATCTCATGCAAATCTCCCCACAGGAACTGTAATTATATCACTTTTACAGATGAGGGACCTCAACAAGGCCCCACTGCTAATAAGTTACAGAGCTAAGATTCTAACCTTGGTCTGTTTGACTTGAAATCCTATTCTCCGCCTCCCTTCCCTTTTCCCTTTCTTCCTTTCCTTTCACTCTCCTTCTTCTTTCTCCCTTTTTTTCTGTTGGAAATTTTAATATCTGAATCTTCTATATATCCACACCCAATAGCCCCTTTTAAGCACTATAATAGTCTGCTTCCTTTATGGAACAGCATTTCATGAACTAAAAAGAAAAACCAGGATCAACTTGCCTACACTTGCCCCAAATAAAATGCCAGATCTCCTTGAGTCACAGTGACAAGAGGGTTGAGTATTTTCAGATGCTGTGATTATCACACTGCACTTCCCATGTGACTTAAAACGTGAGGCCATCCGAGGCCTGTGTATACATGGGATGATAAGATCAGGGTTTTTGAACAAAAATATTTGGATTGCTATACTTAAAGGATTTATGTCATGATGCATTTTTGAGGGTGTGCTCTGCTCTCTTCGTTGAAGCCTTTGAGGTAGAAGTGACACATTTAGGAGCTAGCTATCCTAAAATAATAGACTCTTAAAAACAATGGTCTCCAGGCATTGTCTCTGTAATACTTACGAAGGATTATAAGTACAAACTGGTATGGGCATGCTGTGCATTTTTCTCCTAAGTACTTAAGTAAGTCAATATGTCCAAGATCCTAAAATTTCCCAGGGAAGTTTAATGTTATAGAGCTTATATTGCTTAAAGAGAGAATGACTGTTATTTATTTTGAACTTTTATTTTGGCAGTGTGATCATATTAGAAAATTGTTTAACTTTGAACTTTGGTTTCCTAGTTTGTTTTGTTTTCCTTTGTTAGAATTATTGATTAAAATAATTAGGTCTAACAGCTTACAAGAGTTCTTTGTTGCTGAAGTTTAGTTTAGTTACCCCGTGCCTCATAAAATATTACTGTGGTTTTTTTTTTCACTACAAGGAATTTTTCATCTGGGGAACTGATTTTAATTAAAGTCCTTGGGCCTTACTTTTTACTTGAAAAACAATTGCGTAATTTTCTTCCGGCATGTGTAAGAATTAAATGGATGCGTTGAACTACACAGTTTTCACTGTTGAATGGTTGAATGTCTTGATTTACTCTAATGACAAAAGAGACAAAGTTGTAAAGAATTGAAAAATCACTATAAGCAGATATTTAGATATTGGACAATAATATTCACACTTAGAGAATATTGCATTATTTAACAGTTGCTTTAAATTGATAATTATTCCCATAAGTTTTGTGATGTATTTGGATTTGCTATAGAAACATATCCACCTATTGGACTTTTGGGGTATTGTTTTTAGATTAAATGTTTTATGATTAATATGTATTTTATTTGACTTCCGGTACATGGGTTTTGTTTCTACTCAATTATCAAGTCTAACTACATGGAATACTTTGTTGAGAAAGATCTTAAAGAGAGCGAGGGCTTAGCAGGAAAGAACCTCATGATTCAGTGGATAGAAAGGATTATTATGCCTCATACAGCAAGTCTGTGTGCCCTAGATAGAATATGAAAGATTTATCTGGAGATTAGAAGGAAAATAGATAATATTTGTCATCTAAAAACAAACTGGTATTACTTGTAAATAGTGATTTAGTCAGATTTCTGTCTACATATGTTTTAAAGATTTAGAAATATTGATCTGAAATGAGAACAGAGTAATAACATCCTTCAGATTTCATATTAATGTACATATTGTCAAAAGTTATTAATCACATATATTAATTTGGATTTTCTAGCATATTTTTATTGCTCCCACCTAGGATATGATTTTTCAAAGTAGAAAGAATGTCAACCCCAGTGAGTAGTACACTTACAATATAGTTATTCTAAAGTATTCCATAGAAAAATTAATTTTCTAATATTTCTGGTTTTTGAAAGAACAATTATGTGAAATAAAAACGAAGAGAAATTTATATAATGGACTAATTTATAGATGCTATACAATAGAAATGACTCATGAAGGTATAAAGAAAGTAACTGTTTCATAGTAGGCACCCCAGAAATATGTGCAGAATATTGACCACATATCAGTTTCTGGCTAGCTGAGCTGTGTTTTTTTATGTGGTAGCTTATAAAACGATCGCAGTCCTGCCTGTGAAATAGATGGCACTATTTCCATTTCATCCACTTATTAAATTAGCAAGTTATATAAGCAGAGGCTCCTAAGGTAAATAACATGCTTAATATCACCAACCTTTTATTTTTATTTATTCATTGGAAGAAATTTTTGCAATTTATATCAGAGGTAAAATGCTACTAAAAGTGCTTTTGCAAATCAGTAAAATGACCAAGAAACCAGTAAGAAATGTGAAAAGGATAGGATTAGGCAGTTCACAGAAAAGGAAAATTGTTATAAGGGGACACTTAGCATACATAAGAGCAAAATCACATCTGAACTGTTCTGTAGTTCTAGTAGGTCATACTGTCCTAAAGAGAATGAAGAGACTGGATTACACAGTGGGTAATAAGAGGATAAACTAATATGGTTTAGTGGAAAACATTACAAGAGATAGTTGTATAAGTTCTATTTAAAAAGGTTATTGACACATACATTATGTTGTTCTATTAGTTGTCTTAGGAAATTCTGTTCCTGATTTCTTCTGGAATGTTTTTTTATGTTTAGTTTTTAATGGAAAGGGTTAAAATAATAAAAATACCATATATCTGTACTAGTTTCTCTTGTTTGTATAGTTTAAAATTTCTTTCAAGCATGTTAATGTTTTTTTCACTAAAAACCACACTAGTAAGAGATCTTAGGTAAATAAGCCTCACTATTGCCCCTGGCTTTGATTTTCATTCAGAAGAATAACAAGGAAGACTGGATTTGACTGGCTTATATCAAAAGGATGTCACAAAAGCATTTGATAAGTAAGTAGCTTAAAAGCAAGAGAGGATGAAGTAGAATTAACTGAGAACCAATAGCCTAGGGATTTAGGAGTATCTCCTAAACCAGTGATGGCGAACCTTTTGAGCTCGATGTGCCAGCATTTTGAAAAACCCTAACTTAACTCTGGTGCCGTGTCACATATAGAAATTTTTTGATATTTGCAACCATAGTAAAACAAAGACTTATATTTTTGATATTTATTTTATATATTTAAATGCCATTTAACAAAGAAAAATCAAACAAAAAAATGAGTTTGCGTGTCACCTCTGACACGCGTGTCATAGGTTTGCCATCACTATCCTAAACACTAGTAGATTAATGAGTTACCAAGGTTTAAGAGAGAGAGAGAATAAAATTCCACAGTAGTCCACATTCTTCAGAAGTAGGTGTTACAAGCAGAGGGTTCAATGGGTAGTTCTGTGCTCTTGTGTGTTTAAGTGTGCTCTGGCATCAGGAAAATTGACCTTTTTTTTCTGAGAGAAGTAAATCTCTGTCTTCAAGCTTGAAGTTCATCTCCTGACTTGTCTTACTTTATCAGTCTCTCCAAGTGGGTATCATTGATGAAAGCCAAGTTCCGCAACAGCAGCACCCAGCATCTCTCAGTGTGAAAACATGTTTGCCTGAGCAGGCATGAACATGAATGCGGCCCACAGGCCAGAAGGTGTAGTACAAAGTGTGCAGTAGGGCCCAATGAACCTAAAGTGGCAATATGGAAAGATCTAAGTGTGTCAAGAC